AATTTTGCAACTTATTTGTAATTTGACAAATTAACGTCTCTTCTTTCGAGTTACTTTTTTGGGAATTATCGTTCTTTCCTTCATAAAGTGCAATAAAATGTATACTAATAATTTTTCAGACTTTTTAGGTTTTATGATCTAATTGGTGGTGCAGTCAGCCGTGCCAAAAAAGTAAACTATTTACTCAAAATATTTCTGCCAATCAATAATTTATTTACTCTTGTAATATCCTCTTCTAGTTTATAAACACCGTGTATAGGTTAGGTACTAGTTTTTGATTATCATCCTAAATATTAAACTATTTTTAAATTACTAAATTAATTACTACTTTTTTATTTACATGCTAAGAATATTAGTCTGACGCTTTAAAAATTAGTATCAAATTTTTATTTTAGCATAAAAGAACGTTATCTATTGAAATATGGGTAAACAGCTTTAGTGACATAATAATGACTTAATAATTTTCTAAAAATCTAATTATAGAAATAAGCACTAACTACATTATGTAGTAGGTACATATTTTTAAAATCACATTACCTTACACTGGCTCTAGAAAAAATCACAACTTCACGTATCAAGGCTAATGTACAAATAAAGCGTAGGTACGTTGCGAGTTGATGTAGGTTATTAGTTTTAATGAAACAGATAGAGAAGGGGAAGATACCAAAATAGATGTATACATATTTTTTCCTCGCGTAATGATTATGCTGTTCCTTATCATCTTTTAAGTACAATACATATCTGGCTGTCCAATTATTCAACAGAACATTAGTTGTATATGAAATTGCAAGTCATATATTATGACAGTATCTATGTTAGTGGATGAAATTATTAAAGAATAGTAATTAGTTTATGTACTACCTATTAAAAATATCGTTCCGACATTTTTACACCTTACCGATCAAGTGTTCCGTGACGTACATGGTATTTTTTGTATTGATAAATAAATTAATGTTAATAATAACTTTATCTGACTACTCTAAAAGAAGTCTAGAAGACGCATATATTTATTATCGCATGAATAGGCTCCAAACCCTTCTGAAAACTAACATCTTTTAAATTTCTACTTTTTTTTGTTACTGTCAATCCACCTATGGCCAAATATTTTATATTATCTTATCTTACAAGTAACCTTGAAGAAGTTGTTTCACCTCGAATTCAAATTATTCATTATTTTAATACATAAATTTATATTTCATCTGCTAGGATATGCATAGGTGTTTTCACAACTTTAACTCATTTCATACAAGGTGTTCCCTAAATAATGTAACATATTTAATAATGTTATTCCTGTGATCATTTTATGAATAATGCTTTATATCGTCCTAAAACATCTCGCTTATGGTCTGCAGGGTATTCAAAATTTGTAAACGTTTCTCTTTTTCCACGAGTCCCATGAATACGTTGGTTTCTCCTTATTTTTCAAGATTTTAACACATGTATCCGATTAAAGGCTAAGTTTTGGTTCTAAAACTTGAACTTGACTGCGTTGCCTTAGGAAAGTAGAGTCCATATTATTTTCAATTTTTCAATTTTTTATTAATATTTTGTGTAATATCCTTTCAGTGATGGATGATCAAAGGTGTCTTTTGTTTTTCATTTAATTAATTTAGGAAATGAATGTTTGTGAATTTTTTTTAAATTATTTGAAGAATCATGCCGTTATAGGTACATGAGAATTATAGATTGCTACGTTATTAAAGACCTTGATAAAAAAACTCTGTTCATAATTAATTCCATTTCAAACTTTAATGGATAGCGTTAAAAATACAAAAATAGACAAATTAATGTAAGACATTTTTTGGTGGCTTTTCTAACCAAGCCTTGATGTTGCCTATTTTCTCCACATTTTCTTTGACTTTCTGTAAATTCGGGAAATTCGTGATTATGTCTTTCTCTATCAAAATATTAAAAAAATTTAATGTAGCTGCAAAGACCAGATCAACCCAATTCAACTGAAAACCAAAAAGAAAAAATTATGACTGGCAGAAGCACTAAAAATTTATTTCAAATGTTGTTCATCAAAGGAAATCAGTGTTCAATGTGGACAGTGTAGTTAGTAGCGAGCGAATGGCTGTGCATTTGCCAAACGGAATTTGATTGCAAATTAGTTTGTTGCACGTTTATTGTTTAGTGTTGTAAGTTGTAAGTTAAGGTAATTATATAGGAGCGAAATATGTTTATGGAATCCCAAGTCAAAATTATATAAAATAATAAATAGCAAAACTGATGCCTGGAATAAAATTTCTACTGAGAGATCAATTGTGATGTCACTGATTTAAAAAAAAGATTAATTCGCTTTTGGCATCATTTAGACGAGAAAGACAAAAAGAAGGCACTTCAAAACAGTTTGGCAGTGGGACTAACGAAATTTATCATTCTACGTGGTTTGCTTTTAAAAGTCTTATGTTTTTAATGGATAAATCATGTTAAATACTAAAAAAAAACTAAAATCAAATTTATTTTTATAATTTTACAATTATTTGAGTATATTACTTATCTTGCTGCCATGGAACCTGACCCGACGTTGTGAAATACTTCATAAATTCTTGCCTAATCTGTTCATTATAGGCGGAAGGCACTCTTCTTAAAGGGATTAGAGATTCTGGTTGTAACTGCTTACTGAGATCATTGTCAAAAATACCAGGTGGTATAATATGTCAGCCAACAATTTTTCATTAAGCACTATAAACATACCTGCTCAAGCCGTGAAAGAAAAGTTCTCTACTTTTCTTCTGCTGGACCCGGTGGAAATGCGCTGCATCTTTGTGCCTTTCACTGTCCATTATAGTGCAAAATTCTTTAAAAACTGCTACTTTACCAAGTGCCTCGAAATCAGCTGATGTAATTGCTATTCATAAAAAAGGTGACAAATTCAATAAGGAAGACTATGACAAATTAGTCTTACTCCTGTTGAAGTGAAAGCTATGGAAAGAATTATTACTGAAACTGTAACCGAATTTGTTCTGTCATATAAAATTATGCCTGAGGAGTAGCATGGATTCTCCCTGGAAGATCAACAACCACCAATTTGCTACAATGTTTAAACGATTGGACCATCACAATTGATAGTGGTCAGTATGCTGACGTCATATACCTTGATTTTAGCAAGGCCTTTGATAAAGTGCACATTAAACGTCTTTGTTCTAAAATTGAACATGCTGGTATTAGAGGAGATCTCTACAAAAGGATTGTTTAAGGATAAAGGATTTTTAAGCAATCGTTTTTTGTCTGTGGAAATAGGAACTGACGTCTTGGAATACTATTCTGTTAAAAGTGGAGTTCCTCCAGGCTCCGTTCTTGGCCCATTACTCTTTCTTATAAATAAAGATCTTCCTCATATATTGCCACTTCAATGCTCGCTGTATGCTGATGATACAAAGATTTATGGGAATCCCATAACTGATTAGTGATTATAGCAGGAAAGCCTGATTTCTGTAACAGATTGGTGCAAAAAATGGTTAATATCTAACTACAACAAATGTGTAAAAATCCAGTAGAGATACAAATATTAGGAACACTACCAAATAAAAAGGAAAAGGTCCAATACGTGATCGTAGAATTGATGAAGCATACTAAATATTGAAACACTGTGCAGCCAAACAGCTTGACAAAAATAACAATCTTTTGGGCAGTGGCAGCATGTGGCAGGCAAAGTGGATTCAGATCGGTGCACAAAAGTAGTACAACATTTAATAAATAATATTATTTTTGATGAGGATATGGAAAAATATTATGCTTCTTCAAGTTTATTGAATTCACAGTGTCAGACAGTATTCAATAGTACTCTCAGTCCCAATATATAGGTAATTTCCGCAATAACTATAAATCTAGCGGCGCTAATTATTATATCCTCATCTGTATCCAACATTGCGAACGGATTATCGACGATTGCGAAAGTTCTTTCTAATTTACATGCTCCTACTTGTAAAGAACAAACGAACGAGAGAATAATGCGTTGCTTTGTTCGTTTGCTTCTGTTCGTTCCAATTTAAAGGCACCTTAACATGCATTCAAGGAGCCATTCGCGCCCAGTCGCAGTTGCGAGTAGCAATTGCCAGACGTACCACCGATATTTTTAAGTACTGTACCTATTACTGTTGGTAAAATAAGATTGCATGCAGTCACCATAAAATTGTCAAAGAATACACTTACGCTATGGCGACTGCATGCGATCTTATTTTACCAATAGTAATAGTACTTAGTGAAGAAACTTTGCTACTTCCTGAATTATTGGATTAAGCACTACTACTCAATCAAGGAATTTTATAAATTTGGTCTATCGCATCTATTTAAACTTTAACATTTTTATTGTCAGGATACGATAGATCAAAGAATACTGGATGTGTTTTTTATAGTTTGAATTAATTTCTCTCTATGTCACATGTACCTATCTCAATAAACATATGTTTTAGTTCTAAAACTTGACTGCGCTACCAATGGCGTCCCTATGGAAAGTAGAATCCATGTTATTTTCGGTTTTTTATGTAGTGATGATGATGGAAGGGAATGTTTGTGAGATCTTCTTCTTAAAATGATCTGAGAAATCATCCCCTTAGGATTATTTAATAAAGTCAGATATGTACATGATAATTATAGATTATTGTTTTATTGAAGACATTATCAAAAAAAAAAACAGTCTTATGGTTCATTTCAAGTCAAAATTTAATGCGTAGCTTTGAAAATACAAAAAAGAGAAAAATTATTATAGTTCATCTTTTGGTCTTTTTTTCAACCAAGCCTTGATGTTGGGTATATTCACAACATTTTCTTTGACTTTTTGTAAATTCGGGGAATTTGCGATTATCTCTTTCATAGCCATAGAATTAAGAGAATCTAATAATCCCGTAAAGACCAGATCAGCCCAAGTCAACTAAAATACAAAAAAATTGATTATAAAGCAATAAGTATTAAAAATTTATTTCAAATCTTGTTTTAATGAATCACAAAATTTAACTGATACCTATAAAGTTACTACGTTCACCTGATTTGATACTTACACGACCACCCACAAGGTAACCATTATTTTTCTCAGCTTGAGCATCTAGTTTTTCTAAGTAAAATGGAAGAGCATCATTTAATATAGATTTTTCTTTCTCTTTCTTAGCTTTTTCATCTGTTTCATAACTGTACTGAGCGAGTTCTGAAATAAAAGTCATATCAAGATAATAAAATTTTGGCTTTACGTAATTTAATGAATAAATAATTTAATGTTTTTATTTTCCTTTTCTCGGCCTTTATCGATTAAGAAGAAGATGTAACCGTTACCACTTAAATTATAAACGTCTCAATGCTTCCCCTCTGACATCACTCGATGATGCAGTAAAATAAAACAAAATGGATTTATGTATTAAAAATCCAGTAAAATGTATATCATTACATAGTTAGTAGATTAAGTTATAAAAAAAAAATAATAAATTAAGCAATTCCTTTGAATTTTTGAAATCCACGTTTTAAGATTTACTGTTTAAACATACCAATCGAAGGTTAACCATCTTGTCGGATTCTGTTGATATTTTCCTTATGTCAAACTAAAAGTTTAAAAGCAAAGACCACCAGCAATGCTGCACGTTTAGAAGATTTAAAAATAGCAAATAAATGACATAAAATGACGATATATGTAAACATCAACTAAATAAGTCATTATAAAATGTTTGAGCATTTTAATTATGCAATCAATGAAAATGCGAGTTCAAGCTCTGGGGCCACGTCAAGGCGTCTAACAATCCAGGGTATAGTTGTTACGATATCAATTGGAACCTGTGATTCTTAAAGCACAAGACCGTCTGCACTTCTCTTGAAATAAATATTATTATCATACCCATTGGGCGAGTCCGGTATTGGTAGACAATCCATTGTACGCGGGAGCGCAAATGGCTCCATCTGTCGTGCTGACTCCCAAATGTGCCATTCAAATGGCTACAGTAGGAAGCGACCTGTTTTATTGCAGGTACTTGTTGCACTACTGCCACCCACAGAGGGCGAAGACAATAAATTAATTGTCATTGTTGCGAGAAACAACTACTCTGAGGGCTATATTCCCCTACCGGCATTGAATTATACTCGCAACACCTAGTGCAATAGCTAGGGTCGTTCTGTGCCTGGTGGGTTAAACTGACGAACGACCCTAGCTGTTGCACTAGGTGTTGCGAGTATAATTCAATGCCGGTAGGGGCATATAGCCCTCGGCATAGTTGTTTCTCGCAACACTGATAATTAAAACATCGGTAGACAGTCCGCCTGATGTAGAATCGACGGCGGCCAGTGAAACATAATATTGTAATTTAATGCAATTCTGCTCTTACTGTTTTAATAATTTTGATTTTACCAAAACTGGAAAAAAATAAAATTACCGAAGGTTGCATAATAAGCATGTATCACGTACAACAATTATTATAGATTGTTTAATACAATTTATTTAAAAATTAGAGTCGAAATTAATCAACCAATGAGATGTCACGAAAATGTGGAATTATTTACAAGATAATAATAAACTTCTGATTGTGACATCACTAAACAATGAAGCAGATATGATGTCCATATTTTATAGAATTTTTAAGGCTTTTTGTTAACAATGGGCTAAGGAACAACCTCCTGAAGTTACGACTCGTCTGTAAAAACACCGTGTATATTCTATTCAAAAAAAGGAAAGTGAAGTAAATATAAATATAACTTACTTAATCGTAAATCAGTAATCGTGTCAACTGTTGCATCGATTTCCAAATCTTCCCAATCATCTTTACCAACTAGATTTACTTGCTTTGCTACATATCTACAAATGGCTGTACTTTGATAGGCTACTTTTCCATTATATTCCAAAATAGGTAACTGTCCAAATGGCGTATCTGAAATCATTGTTATTTTTCTAGTGATTAAACTGAAGATAACAGTGGACATATTATTTCAATAGGTGGAATGGTATGTTCACAATGTAACATTAATTGTTAGTTTTCAAACATATTATAGTATTTCTCTGCATATTTCACTTTTTATAAAATACATTTATCTAAAATGGGCAAACCTGTAGTGGTACCTTACAATAATAAAAGATATTTATAGTTTACAAAATATCTCGAAGATGATGATTTAGTGTAGCATATGGAGATTGCATGTATAAGTAAATATTAAAAATACTTTCGCGCAAGGTCATTTTTAATTAACTTAAAGCAGGTGATTTTGCATCCCATGTTAGAAATACTTCGTTTCAGTGAAACTGGAGAAAAAATCAAGCATTTGTTAGATTTACATAAGAAGAAATGAATTAGCGATAGGTCTCTCGTTTGAAATATTACTTGATAATATATTTAAATGCATACTCGGTTTTAGAGCAGGCCAACTTTCTTTATTAATGCGGTTGTCTTCAAATTCAATCCCACCATAACTCAGAAGGAACCTGATGGGTTCTGCAAGGGCGGCAATGGCAAAATATGTAAGTTTGTATGCTAGCACCATTTCTGAAAGGATAAGAAAAGTTACATAATGTAAAGTCTCTATTCTAGATAGAAAGTGATAATTCTGCGTAATGTCCACTAGTTTTTGCAACATAATAACTGGCAAATTATCCGTTTTACTATAAAATAGAGAAGATATTTTTTTCTTTGACATACAATTGGGTATGAAGTTACAAATGTTAGTCGAAATGGTATCAAAATTCTGATATTCCTAATGAAGAAGCCTTCCAGTATCTCCGCCACTGGTTGATATAACTGTGTACAAATTCAGTAAATTCTTACCTTCCCAAGTTTTATAAATTAATCTTAAATACATTTCGAGATATTTGTGTATGTATTTCTAATATTTATTTTTTAACTCTACACCCTGTAACTGGTATCTGAAGTAACTACGGACTAAGGTAAGGTATATTTGACCAATAACCACATTTTAGGCACAGGATTATCAATGTATCATTTGGTTTCATTCTTTAAATACACCCTGTATAGATTTACTAAAAAAATTTTCGTAACATTGAAAGACAAATGAAGTACATACACCTTTTATTAGATATAAATGGGTACAAAGAAAAGTATTACCTTACTTTATGACTTGCACTAGTAGAAAAAAATGTCACAACTTTCTATGACCAACGCCAATACATAAATAAATAACTCAGTCCCCGTTATGATTATGTAAGCCTGAATATTTTGTTGACAGAGATAAGGAGAATCGAAAGATTACCAGAGAAGATACGTTGATGTGTATGTAATCGTCACACTTTGCGCAATGATGATATTTCTATTTATTATATTTACATACATCATTCCATGTCAGGAATATTTTGTTAGCGAAAAAGATCAGGTCGACCAACTATACGTAATAAATTTTTTTAGGTATTGTCAGTACAATAACAACAGCATAAAATTGGAAATGATGTACTTCACATACAGTATGAGTTTTTGAATTATCCATCCAAAATTTTTTGGAGCAGATAAATCGAATGTTTTTTTTTATTTACAGCAGATATACAGATTTATATACAGGAGATATACAAGGTATGCTGTTTGCCGAACCAACTATGATAATACAGTTGGTGCGATTGCTTTTGCTTTTTCGGTTATTTTCCGTCGGCGTCGGTCTATTTCTGCTACTATGCCTAAGCACCGACGCGACGCTAGGAGACGAGCAACTTCCAAACTGGAAATTTTGCCGAACCCCCACTTTGTTGTAGGGTAAGGATCTTTTACTTGCCTAATATTATTTAGGCAAGAGACCAACGGTTTTAGATATTACATCCTTACCGAGGTCTTGCTATACAATTTGTTTAAAAAAAGAGGTTTTCCAAAAATTGCAAATACCTTAACAGGCCATAGATTATGCACGGATAATAGTTTTGAAAAATAACTAGTTCCTAAATCATCTGCAAAAAATGATAAATCTTTTGCAAAGAATTAATTCTTTATCAAGATAGATCCAGATTCACATCTGATATGACTAATATAGTTTAAATTATATCATTAAGCAATTGTAATAAATGCCGGGACGCGTAGTAATTTATTTATTAGTTCTCGGAAAAGATGGGCCAAAATGTAAAATATTTCAGTCAACACTAATTATCGAAAGTTAAGGGCTCTCAAGTAGGCTTAGCGTCGTTCTTCGGAGAAGTTTAGCAATATTTTTTGAACAAGTTCATTTAGACCATCGGGGCCATGTGACGGTCATCTGTCGCGTCCGGGAGGCGCCAACCTATGCTGGGACAAAACAAAGAAACTCATATTTTTAATAACGCGCTGAACCACGAGAAGAGGTTCCAAATTAGAATTAAATCAAATTGTTAAATTGATAATAAATAGAAAAGAAAGTAATAGATCAAATAGCTGGTTTTTAGGCGCATTTTCCAAGCTATTAAGAATATATTAAATGAGATTGACTAATCCGTCCCGTATTGCTACACGGAGTCACTAGAGGAAGGCTAGGGTTACTTGTAAGTTCAGTTAATCACAGAATTATTTATATAAATGTAAGTCCAGTCAATTAGGTAATTATTAACATAGTATAGTTATACCAAAGCTTCCCGATATTCAGGTTCCCTCCAATAAGATAAGAACAGAAACTTCTGGACCCCAGAAATGGGCGTGTCGAAGCGAGGTGTCGAATTCAGAAGAGATCCGAAAAACAGGTACTTAGTTCTTCCTTGGGTTTCACATTGAGCAGTCTACATAGTTTTAGAGTCTCGGGTTAATTTAATAATGAATAGGGTCATTCCAAATTTTGCTATGGATCGCGCATTCCCTGAATCTCGGTACGCTGTCGCGTGTCGATAAATTAATTAATAATGTTGTTCGAGCCGTTGTGTCGTTATTTTATGTTTGTTTTGTTTATTGTTATTAAAACCCTTCCTGGAAGTTTTGGTGTTTCTTTTTGTTTCTCTCAACTTCAGTGTCACCCTGTATAGCCAGCCACTGGATTACATTCTACGTAAGCAATAGAGGGTAAGTGCATGAAATTCATTCTCTGAACGTACAACATTTCTAAGTTCCCACGTATTAATTAAAGTATAATGATAATTATAAACTCCCTTTCCAGAATTGAATAGTAAACTGTTTTGAAATCCAGACTCATTATGATACTGGTCATAACGATAGATAGATAAATAAAGAAATAATCCCTCAGGTTACACAATGGAATGTAATCAATACTGAAGAGTACATTGGCGGAAAAAAGCTTTGTTGTTTCAGAGTGACTTCTGAAGAGAGCTATATGTCTCTCGAAACATCAAGAGTTGTAAATCGACGACCTGGCAACCAGCCCGAAAATAATTGAACCATTATCGACAGCCACGGAAGCCTACAAACAAAACTAATTGTTTTATGTTGTGAGCAATTAAATTACTTACAACTTAAGGTACCTGAAGTCACTTTTCACCTATTTGTTAACTGTAAAATAAAGGTCGAATACGGAAAATCAGTTTTGGAACATTGCGCATTATTATTGCAAAAAGCGATGGATGTTGATGAAATTTACGGAAAAGACCATCAATCCAAAGACCAACATGTATGCTAAAGGCATACTTACAAATACTTATTTGCAATTTGCCAATTTAGCGTCACTTCTTTCGAATTACTTTTTTGATATTATCATTATTTCCTTCATAAAGTGCAATAAAATGTCTACTAATATTTTTTTAAGATTTTTCAGATTTTATAATCTAATTCGACTGGAGTAATATCGGTGGTGCAGTCAGCCGTACCAAAAAAGTATTCTATTTACTCAAACTATTTCTGCCAATCAGTAATTTATTATAGCCTTCAAATATCCTCTTCTAGTCTATAAACAGCCATTAGTTTGTGATTATCATCCTAAATATTAAAGTATTTTTAAATTACTAAACTAATTACTGCTTTTTTATCTAATGCTAAGAACATTAGTTTGAAGCTTTAAAAATTAGTGTCAAATTTTTAGCATAAAAGAACATCTGTTGAAATATGGGTAAACAGCTTTAGTGAAATAATAATGAGACTTAATAATTTTCCAAAAATCTAATTACAGAAATAAACACAACAATGTAGTAAGTACATACTTTTAAAATCATATTACCTTACTGATTCACACTGGCTCTAGAAAAAATTACAACTTCACGTATCAAAGCTCATATACAAATAATGAAATGTAGGTACATTGTGAGTTGATGTAGGTTATTAGTTTTAATGAAACATATAGAGAAGGGGAAGATTACCAAAATACATATTTTGTATAGTAATAAATTTTGTAAGTACATATTTTTATACATATATACATAATTTTTCCACGCGCAATTATTATGTTGTTCCGATTCATCTTTTAACCACAATACATCAGGTTGTCCAATTATTCAACAGAACTATTAGTTTTATATGAAAGTGCTAGTCGTATATTATGACGGTATCTATGTAAGTGGAGTGGAGTTTATGTACTACCTGATAAAAATATCGTCCTATGACATTTTTACACATTTCCTTTCAAGTGTCCCGTGACGTATATGCTAATTTTTGTACTGATAAATTGTTAATGTTAAAGATACTACATTTTATAAAATTTGCCTTAATCTAGCTATTTTAGTTCAAATGTAATCCAAATTTTATGTATTTAAATAATATTATTATTGATTAAATTAAAGTTATGTTTTGGTGTACTTTTTATTAAATTTTTTTATATTTTTACCATACATACATACGTACGTACCGTACATAAATGTATGATTATGTAAAAACGTCGTTTCCCAGTTCTTATTTTCTATTAATAATTTTTAATATATTTCCTTAAAAGTGTCAGTAACGTTATTTGGGGTTCCCTTTTTAATTATTCCGATTATAATATCTCTTCGACATTCAAGAACAATTACTGTCATATTCTGTAGTTGCAAAAAAGCAAAAACCTCCTATTCCAACTAATCAGTAACAGTTTTAAGGTTAGCAGATCTGTTTTCTATCTGTTGTTAGTTTAGTGAACCAAAAATGTCAGTCTATTGAGACAGTGCAAAATTAATGTTCTTAGCTTGTTGAAAGTACGTGAGAATACTTTAAATATGATACTTTGAAATATTTTAGTTTCCGTCTGTTTGTTATTTTAAACTTCTTGTATTGAATTTGTATAAAAAAAAACTGTATTTATGAACACAAAAATCCGCCGCTAGTCTTAAAGATGTTTCCTATAAATATCACAAAATTCCTTATCTTATTCCTAAACGGCCTTGAGTAAAGTTAATTATGTATTTAGAACTTTGTAGCGATTGTGTGTTAACTAAAAATCTTATCGCATCTAACATGCTATTTTCAAAATTCATTAATGTACTAATTTAGTGATAAACCTATCTATTATTTTCACTGATACCGAGATGACATACCTACCTATTTTTTCAAAATTCATTATTGTACTAATTTAGTGATAAACCTATCTTATTTTCACTGATACCGAAATAACATCATCACTTTTAAAATATCTACCTACAAATAGATATTATTCCTGTACAGTACTTATTATACAGGGCGGCCAAATGAAAACGAAACAGCCGTCTTCAGGAACTTCAAGATTGTAGAAAAACGCTCAGACCCGTCGATTTTAGATTAAAGGGGTACATTCTTTGCTGGTATTTTTGACTCCGCCACTTTCACCTCCAAGCAAGGGTAAGCATCACCCCAAATTATTTAAATGGCATTGGGAGTTGAGTAATATTTCTTTTGGAAGCTCTTACAATTCTCTTTACGACAGACTTTAAATTTATAATTCCGCTTGATTTTGGCGATTTGTTATCACTTTCGTAAAAAATAAACACAATTGTAAAAAACAGAAATGAATGCTATACACACACAATGAACGTAAAATTAGTGGATTCCAAATTATTTTCTAGTATTATTTGGAAGCGTTGGTTGGTAGTTTATTTAATTGTGTTTTTGAAAATTAAACACTATGGTTTATTCCATTGCGGAAAGGGTAGATATCATTTCGGTTTACTCTATGAACAATAAATGTTCAAAATAGAACAGCTCAGCTATTTAGTGAACAACATCAAGATTGACATGTCAGGAGGAAGTATGTTCTAGAGTTAGTAAAAAAATTTCAAGAGACAGGGAACGTAGCCAATAAAAAACGAAACATTGAAAAACATATAGGCAATTAAGCTAGTGAAGTTGCAGTTTTGGGACAAATTCATCTTGATCCTACATTAAGTACGAGGCAGCTGGCACCTGTGTCTGGGATCAAATCAAATTCCATCCATACAAAATACATTTAGTCCAGGAACTTCATGAGGATGATTATGACCGCCGTTTGCAATTTTGCGAAATAATGAGTGAGCGAGCAGGGAACGATCCACAGTTCCTTTTTAACATCTGTTTTTCTGATTAATGCAGTTTTTTCTTGAACGGGACGGTAAATCGTCACAATTGCCGCTATTGGTCCCATTCAAACCCAAAAGTTTTTCACGAGATGCATACACAGCAACCGGAAAAATTAAATGTATGGGCTGGAATTTTCGGTGACCGGCTGGTGGGTCCTTTTTTCTATCTGGTAATTTGACTGGCCAAATGCATTTACAATTACTGGAAGACGCCTGCCTTGACTGATATTATTGAAAATGTTCCAGAGTATGATGAAGATCATTTGATGAAACATTTCCGGGACTATTTTGCTTCTAAGGCGAAAATGACTATAATATTCGTGTTTAGCTACCCCTGATTAAGTACAAAAGAATTTTTGTACGTGGTCTAGAAGCCGAGATATAAAATATTTTGCAAGGGCGAGCCATTTAGACTGCAGGTCATCAGTTTTCAGAGCGAGCGCGCACCTCTTCCCCCTACTTCTCCGTCCGGTCCAGCTGACGCACTCAGTGCTTGCACGCTTCAGTTTATTACTTAATTTACTAATACTAAAAATCAAGTAAACATATACTACTATTTTTTTTTTTTGAAAATATAAGTATTCAATATTAACCTCCGTCAAGCGCATCGCTGTAAAATGTTAATTGCGTCTTCTAAATTTTTTTTAAATAAAAAAATTATCTCGGCTCCAGAAGGTCGTAGAAAAACATTTTTTTTTAAATCCGTGAANTAAGGGTTCTTATTTTAATTTACGTTATCATAGTTATCCGGAATAGAACTGAACAGGTATACAGTTTTTTCCATGTTACTAGATCCGTAGAAAACTAGGAAAGGTTAAAACGCTTTGCTGTCAGGGTTCTGTGGTACAAATAACAGCACTTGAATCACCAACAGAACTGGACGGGGCGTTTTTAAATTATGTTACAAATTTCTTTAGCAAATATAATACTTAATACAGTCTTTCCGAAGTCGTTGAACATAAAAAAAATGCCTGGCAATAAAATTTAATGACTTTCATAGGCGTCCCTAAAAAAGTTTTCTGCTAAAGGTAAAAAATTTAAATAATTTATATATAATATAAAGAAAATTTCTATTGTATATTCATTTGGCCAACAACATATTTTAATTATTTATGTCCTCAAACAATTTTATCATATTGATAGTAAATTTCGTTTTCTTCCGTTTCATAAAGTCTCCAAAACGCCATGTTGTAATAATATTATTTCTTCCTTTCGCAATTGTAATATCAATGATTAATAGAAGGTGCCTATAATAAATTAAAATTACCTGAATCACACCAAATTTCGCATTGCTCCACTGCACTGCTGGGCAATTTGTCAACCACTTGTCACGGCTGAAATTTATTGCTCAGTGGCCCAATGCAGCTGTGTTTGTATTCCGTTTGCTCGCGCTCACATTCTTCAACTGGGCGTATACAATTTCTACCACCTCCAAGTTTAGTTCGACCAGACCTGTATATGGGTATGGCTAAATAAATATGGGAACAAGTTTTTCAAATATTTCAGTGTCGAGTTGATACGTCAACGACCGAACCTGGTACATACTGTCAACCTCTTGGTTCTTCAATTGATATCGGAAAGACTATAACTTGTGTTTAAGTCTTCATCATGCGTTGGAATAACGAGCAGTGGCGTTTGCCTTAGAGGTTTATTTTTCCAACGGCCGTTCGGTGGTTTCAACATAGCGCACCTTCCGAAATCGCTTCAATATTGTACCATTGGGTCCTGTCCCGGACTGGAAATTGATTCTTTTGTGGATTTCAATGTTCGGGTAAACTGGTTCTGTGCAGAAAAGAACTAAATATGCACCTCAGAACTCAGATCAGAACACCTGAGACCATCGAAGCAGTAAGGGTTGCAGTTTTGCAATCCCTGCGTCTGCTCTTAGAATTTCCAATCGTTCCGTGAGGCTTATTTGAAATCCCGTGTCTATACCAACCGCCCATAGACTCTGGACGACCTGAAAATAAACATTCAGGAAGAAACAGTCAACATACCTATCAATATGCTGAAGAGAGTGATAAGAAACAGCAGAAATCGGTTCAACCAGTGTATCGACAAGCGTCACTTACTCGATATAAACAAACAACAACAAATTTAAATGTTTATCTTTTTAATAAAATGTATCTTTACTACTTTTTGTTTTATTGCATTATGAAATAAGGAAGTTATCTTGCCGCATCTTGTAGTATATAAAAAAAATCTAATAGTTTAAGCTGACAAACAAATAAATAAAATTTCAATTTGAGACCGAAACGTTAGGAAAAAAATACACTTTTATAACTACTAATATAACAATAAGTTTATTGCAACTCCGAAACATTAATAATTATGTAATTTTTATGGTTTTTATATATTTTACTCATTTGTTTTCTAAATTTTCTGATGCTCTGGTATGGTGGCATCACAACAGACCACAGCCAGGGAAAAGCTGAGTGAAATCCTGAGATTGGTCTGTTTGGGAGGGCGATGGCATCGACCATGATAGCTGCGTTAGATGTTATTTACCACCGCTTCATATAGTGGTGGAAAGAGAAGTATGTTTAGCAGCAAACTATTTCAGGAACAATAGCGACTGGAGAGATAGTCCCTATTCCAGGATTATGGAAACAACTGTGTCGGGAACAACTCTGGGAATGATATCCAACAAGATGGTTCCAAGTTTTCACTTCCACAAGCCATTCGAAACTAGAATACAGGATCAGAACAAATGGGAGGAAAAGTTTGATACACTGGAAAGTTGAAGCATAGTAGTTTAGAAGGTTACGGGGCTCCAAAACAGCCAGGGGCAGGTATTTATGAACTCAGACCCAGATGAAGTGCTACAGTCTGGGGAGTTTTGCCACTATATTTCATTCAGAAATTTTCGCGATAATAGCGTGTTTAGCAGAGAACGTACGTAGAAGTTGTAAACATAAACTCATAAACATATTATCTGACAGTCAAACAGCAATTAAGGTTTAGACACTCAGGTAGGTTCAAAACTTGTGTGAGATTGTTTGCAGATACTGACTGAACTAGCTACCACTAATACAGTTAGATTGTGTTATGTGCCAGGACACAAAGGCATCGACGGAAATGAGAAAGCAGATGAACTTGCTAGGAAGGGATTCGAAACAAAGTTCATTGGTCCGGAGCTCTTCTGCGGCACATCTCCCAGTGTGGTCAGGGGAGCTCTAGAAAAATGAACTGAGGCAGAACACAGGAAATACTGGGCTTCAAAGCCAGAACAAAGCATGAGAAGGAACTTATGAAGTATCCTTTGAAGAGAACAAATGAGTTGCTGAGCTTGAATAAAATTGGGTTCAGGAAAGTCACTTTAGGAAACATCTAAGGCTTGAAGACAGTCCGGTCTGCCGACGATACAACTCGGTGAATTAAACTTCTCTGTATATCCTGGGCGATTGACCAGGATTTGAAAGTAGTAAAATGGCGCTCTTGGAACAACCTTTCTGGAACCCAAGGAGCTGAGAGAAATGTCAGCAAGGAAGCTTTTAGGTTTTGTAAAGAAGGACAAAACTATTTGCTGAGTAGATTTGAACAGTGAGACGCACAATAGACCTGATAAAGCCGCGGTGCTATGGAAATAGGACCTAACCACAGGTACAAGAAGAAGGAGAAGAAGATTATAATAGAATATTTTGAACGTAGAACGTTTTATATAATATTTTCCCTTAATACAGAAAGGCGTAACATTGTTGACAAAAAGAATTATAGGTGAAATAAAATAAAATATTTTTAAATAAATGTATTTTTATTGTTTCAAGAATTCCTAAAGTATTCCTATTCCATAAGCACTCCAATCATATTTTTACTGAATTTTTATGCAATTACAAACAACTCTTTCTTGAGTAACACAATCGAATCGATGTTTTAATTTACCACTCCAAATAGGATTATGCTCTATGAATGCATGAAGTCAAAAAAGCATTAGTCTAAAATATGTACTATTTTTACACTTACAATAATTGAAAACACTGAAATGCTTTGTATAAAAATTATTTATTTTTTGTTACTTTTGTTACAATTGACCACCTCTATAAAGTGGAATATGTGTATGGTAGTCAATTTTTATGTTTTTCCATATTTTGAGATAATTATTTCAGTTCAGAACTAGTAAAGAATTTATTTTTTGGTCGAGTATCCATCCAAGCCTTGATATTGGGCACATTCATAACGTTTTCTTTGACAATCTGTAAATTAGGATAATTCGCGGTTAAATCCTTTTGTATCAAAAAGCTCATGTAATCCACCATGGCAACAACAAAGATATCAGCCCAAGTCAACTGAAAATAAAAAAAAGTCTTGGTAAAAAAAGCATTAACTAATAATTAATATTTTAAACACCATTGAGCAAGGGCAACAAAGTAAAACTGAATCAAATTAACCGAATCTTTATGAGTAGCAAATATGTTGCATTTTTTAACTTCAAAAAAAGCGAAAGAAAAAACTCCAACGGTGTTAAATCGCATTATCTGGGCGACCACTTCGGATCATCGCAACAGGAAATTACACGACCAGGAAATGACTGATGCAGTAATTAAATTGTTTCTTGAGCTGTATGGCATGTGGCACAGTATTGTTGAAACCACATGTCATCTACATCCATATCTTGCAATTTAGGAACAAAAAACTTGATTATTACGTCGCAATAGCGAGCACCATTCGTGCCTGATCAACCGCATTTTCGAAGTAGAATGGTCCAATAATGCCTCCAGCCTAAAATTTGCACCAAACAGTGACACGTTGTGGATGCATTTGTTTTTCAACAATCACTCGTGAATTTTCTGTTCCCCAAATGTGACAATTTTGTCGATTTACGAAACCATTAAAATGAAAGCTTATCGCTGAAGATAATTTTGTTCGAAAAATCAGCATCTTCATAGTTGATGAAGTTAAATCACTATTTCGACCACATTTTGTATGAAAATTGTGCACTCTAGCGCTCCATAACCCTGAACTGTCCTTTTTTACCCCACAAATGGCGAAAAATTCAAATCTTACCTGAATTTTGGGACACCCAATAGTTTTCGGTTTTAAAGATTTGATTTCTAGGAATAACTAACTGGAACAAATATTACCTAATAATTTAACTCTCAGTTGAAGGAGCTGAAAATATATGTACACATGTTTTTTTGCTAGGAAAAAAACTGTAAAGACCAAAATTTTAGTAATTTTTTTTTTGCGATGTCAAGGGAATATATAAAAAACAAATGAATGGTGCATTACAGTAATACAAACCAAACTTTTATTAACCAATATATATTTTACGCTTTTTGGAGTCCTTTTTTTTTTGTAAATATAGCAATATATGTCATATATTTTTATTTTGACATTTTGCGCAATATTTTGTTTTTTTTACCAACCGTCGACAATGTATATTGCTGCTTTTCCCCTATTTACTAAATAGATATTTAAATATTTTACTAAGAAAAAAATATTGTACTTGAAAGATATTTTATGGTAACCGCGTGGTGTTTCAGACAAAGAAGTTCTAATTGGTACTTACTCGCCCACCAACAAAGTAACCACCATTCTCCTTGACTTGAGAGTCAAATTTTCCCAAATAAAATGGAATAGTTTCGTTAAACAACGATTCTGCTTGCGCTTGTTTAACCTTTTCATTTTTCTCGAAAACGTGAAAAGCGGTTTCTAAAAAAATTGATTATTTAACATAGGTATACGTATATCAATTTTAGATAGAGATAAGTTAGATGTACCTACTCAAACACAAATCCATAGTAGTATCAACTATTGCATCGATTTCTAAATCTTCCCAATCGTCTTTTCCAACTAATTTCACTTGTTTTGCCAAATATCTACAAATAGCAATACTCTGATTAGCTATTTTGCCATTGTGCTCCAAAAGTGGCAATTGTCTCAATGGCGTACCTGAAATTATACGTATTTTACAGGAGGATTGGGGAAGTTCGTCTGAATAATTTAAATTATATCAACACATAAAAACATACGAGTTGTCATATTTTAATAAATCTGAATGAATCCTTCACATCAATGAATTTGAAAACTATGTGTCTTTTTTGTTCCAGTAGTGAAATAATAAAATGTAGGGTAATAATAATTGATTGAATAATTGATAATAGAATGAAGATTAAAATAATATATTATAATAACCCGAAAAATCATCGTACTTTAAATATAGTTCGTACGATATTTGTTGAGATAGAATTCCAAGAAGAACCCTGCGTCAATTTCTTGGAATTAACCGCATTCGACACCCGAAATAGAAAGACATTGGCGGAAAATTCCAAGGCACGCCCCTGTCGCTGTAAGTTGACACCTGAGATAAAAAAACATTGGCGGAAAATTTCAGGGCACGCCCTTACCGCAGTAAATTGTTACAGTAGTTCCGATACAAAACTTTATTAGCTTATTCTTTTCTTGGCAATTATTCAAGAAAAGGCGTCGACTTAAATATTGGGACACCATTGCAGAATTATATAAGGCCCTGCGCCATCTAAATTTCTAATGGAATATAAGAGAAAATTATCCTATGCATCCTCCATTACTGTCCTTAAAATATCTAAATACTTCTGAGAAGTAAAGTTGCCATCAATAAGAAACAGTCCTATTATACGGTCATTTCATTAAAAATGCCGTTATTTGTGAACGTAGTTTCATCGCCTAAAATAATTTTCCTGCCGAATAATCTGTCTTCTGTTATCTTTACCATCTATAAAACTCCATTTTTCGTTTCCCATCACCTGGATGTAGTTTTTGTACTGGTTTGAATTTATAATTATGGTACTTATATATTTTTTAAATTCTTTTAACGGTTGTCCGTGAAGGAACACAATCTCTTGCGTTTACCCTAGTAGAACTTTCAGGATTTATATTAACTTGTCCCAATATATTTATTTCATTAATGGGTTCCCGTCTTACTTGATTTATGTAAAAAATAATTTCTGAAAACAAATGAACAGTAAATATACCTACCTACGTCTAGGTTTCTCTACCAAATTTCTATACACTTTTAAAAATACTGTTCTCTGAAATTGAAAACTTTACCATAATTTCAATTAAAATAAGTATTAAAATAAAGTACACAAGGCAGCAAGCACTAGCAAATTTCGAATTTGTCAAAATGTTTGCTGATTTTTGTTTTACGCCAAGAACAACTAGATTTTATCAATTTTTTAAATTAGTTATTGAATTTCTTTAATTTTATGGGTTATTCTTCAAATAAAACAGTGTTACTAATTGACTTGTTCGTATTTTTCTCCTCTGTCTGTTGCTGTCAAGATCTAATATGGCGTCCATAAGAAAAAAAAACAATTGAATGTTGCATAACTGAAACTAGTGGCCGTAGAAATTTTCTTTCTACGAAAATGGATTCCACGTATCTTCTTATCCCCCAGTACCAAATTTAATCTCTTTCTGTTGTGAAATAAGGACGCTAAGTGGCATTTTCTAAAATCACTTTTTTCAGTTTTTTCACAACATTTCAGGAACGGCAGCAGATATCTTTGATCTGTTTGGTTTATTTTAATGACCTTGAAAAAGCGCAACTTTTTTCTAATTTGTGTCACCCTGTATATCTTACGGTTTCCCAGATGCAAATGGTGAGCCATGAAAAACGTAGCTCCTGTATATTAGAAGTAGGCTAAACTATTATAACAGGTAGAAATTGAATTAAGAGTTTTTGATTATAAAATCTAATAGAAGTTAAGTTAAAATACAACAAGTAATGACATATTGAATATATGGTGACAAAATAGTAAGGATAATTTGGGCGACAGTGGGATGAAAAGTGACAGTGTATAATGATATGAAAATTATAATGAAATCTCAGTATACAGGAATAAAAAGTGTCCACAAAATAATGTAATGTAGCTAAAAAAAGAATAAAATGCTTAAAAATGTATGAATTATAAAATGATCTGATTGGTTTGATTGATTGAAAACGATATATTAATAAACATTGTAATTAGATATGAGAGTGCCGTGATAAAGGAATTGATAAAAAAAGTGGTGATCAAGGAGACAGAAATAAATAGTGAGGAGAATCAAGAAGTAAAAAGAGAAATTAGAAGATATACAAATCATAGCAATTAAAAGAAGTTTAAAATAAGAAGTGAAATAAAATATAGAAGATTAAAAGAAGATCATATGAACTACCAAGAAAAAACAAGTGCTGAGGAGAAGAAGAGTATTAAAGAAAAGTAATCAAGCACAAAGTTATTGTGGGACATTTAAAAAACAATAAATAAAGAAGGGAACAGTGAGAGTCAGGAAATAGGAAAGAAGAAGTTATTTGGCAGAAAGGAAATTAGGGTGAAGTCTAAACTGACAGATAACTCAATATAATCATACTGTCAGGTTAGTAAAACATAATTTTGAATTGTCGTAGCCATTTAGAAAAGGAAAGGAGCAGTACGAGCCAGGGAGGTGATTCAGACAGTGGCAGTCTACGGAGTGGAGTAGGACACAGAAGGAGAACAAGACAAAATAGAGGAGAGTTCGAGTGAAAGAAAGGAAGGAGAAGAGACAGGAGAGAGATTACAGGAAGGACATTACTAGTGAGGAAAACATAGACAAAAGGACAACAAAAGTGTAGTATAGGTAACAAGAAACTATAAGTTTATAGAATAAGAAATTGGCAATAATTTAGCTCAGGTTAGATAGGGAATTAGGAAGAATTTTATAAA